CACAAAACACCCATAAACTTATCTCACTACAACGTAGCGCCGAAAATATGACTCGCAGCTCGAGCTAGACACAGCTGCTGTAACATAAGACTGACATCCAGCTAACCACAGCTAAAAAGATATTTAGAGAAAACTTACCGTTTCCTCAGGTTACACGAGTTGAGTTGTTTCACGCTGAAAAGTTGTTGTTTTGGCTCTCACTGAAGCCATAGCTGTTCTTTTGTGCTGCTTTTAAGCGAAACATTGTTTGTATGTGAGGCCAAGGGTGTTCATCCTCTTCAGCTCTAGCGTAGACTCTGCCATCATATTTCTTCTTTCCGTGTGTTGCTACTTTGAAACGCTTGGACCGCTCTGCCCGCCACGGTTTCAAACTGGTCATGTGACTGCATGGCCACATCTGATTGGTGAAAAGGTTACCGGAAACTCCACTGGCGGCATGTTATCTAATGTGTTAAACTAATTTTTTTTTAAAAGGTAACGAGTCGAATTTTGCAAATGTAGCGGAGTAAAAGTACCGTTTCTTCTTCGTAAATGTACTCCAGTAAAAGTAAAAAGTATCGTGAAAAAAAGGTACTTAAAAAGTACATTTTTTTCAAAAACTTACTCAAGTAAATGTAACGGAGTAAATGTAGCTCGTTACTACCCACCTCTGGAATCACACCACACCAAATCATAGCCAAAATGATACAACAAATATAGATTTTTTTCATTAATTGTAGGTGATTTCGTGTAGTAATTGCTAGATCACTGCAAACTGCAATTAATAATATACTAAATATTGCGACAGAGCAACCAGTTGTAACTGTTAATCTTTCTCCCACAGGGAAGACAGATGCTAAATGCTGAAATTTCAATAAATATGTGGAACAGAGATGCATGAAAAATGTATTTAATCACGCTGATGTAGCTGTATAATGTTCAACTGATTGTTTAATGCATTCATTTATTTAGCGATAGCATTTTATTTTATTTTAGAGTTAGAGCATCATTCTGCCTTCAAACAAAGAAGAAGAATGCTATTATTATCAGGTTAGTATTAGAGATGGACCGATCCGATATTACGTATCGGTATCGGTCCGATACTGACCTAAATGACTGGATCGGATATCGGAGAAAAATAAAAAATGTAATCCGATCCATTAAATATCACGAAAGCACCTCACAAAACTTGCAACACGCCGTAACTCACC